TCTCATTTTAACTTTCCCTTGTTTTTTTTTTTTTTTTTTTTTTTTTCTTTTTTTTTTTTTGCATCAGCTCTGCCATCCAAAGAGGTTTCCTCTGCTGAAACCCTTCAACAACTGCTCAGATCATTTACAACAAGCACTTTCACAGGCAGTAGGTCTACAAAAGTGAGGAAAAATCGAAGTTAGTACCTATAATAACGAAGTTAAACGCCGATTTAAGTGTCTGTGAACTGCGAGTGACTGAAAGGGTGCCAGACATTTTGCAAATACACGCAAGACAGGCCCCTGCTCTAATCGGCTTATAAATTAAAAGGAAAGTACATTGGCAAGAGCTGAAGAGATGATATGACATGCTTTAAATAGTTTATAGGGAGCTGGAGGATTGTTGTTTATTTGGTGATGTTGGGAAAATATTTAATGTGCTTTGGTTAAACTCTTTATAGAAACGCTTCTCCTCCCCCAGTTCTCTTTCCCAATGACTGTTTTGGAGATTAAAACCAGCAAGTTTAGAGTAGATGGAAAATGGAGAAACGTATTTCCAAATCGAGAAAACCGCGAGTAAATCTTTATAGATACTTTTTATGTGAGTCAGGCTTTCTAAAGTAATTATCGTAATATAAGAAAGGACCGGCACTTCGCCGCCCCTGCGGACGGGGAGCCGAGGTCGCAGCTGGTGTCAATTGAGATTCTCCTATCTGGGACGCCCTGCTGGACGGGGGGGGCTCCGGGGCTCCCCCCCGCAGGTTCCCGGGACGCCCTGCCGGACGGGGGGGGCTCCGGGGCTCCCCCCTGCAGGTTCCCGGGACGCCCTGCTGGACGGGGGGGGCTCCGGGGGTCCCCCCTGCAGGTTCCCGAGCCGCCCCCGACCGCGCCGGGCGGCAGCGCCGGTTCCCTGGGGCTCCCCGTACCCCTGCCCCAGCCCCCGCAGGTAACCAGAGCTTTTTAGCGTTTAAAGGGCTTATGGAGCGAACCTACACTTTATTTTTAAAAATAAACAAATAAAAAAAATTCCCCCCAAAGCGGGTTCTTTTTAGGCTCGCCGTGGCCGCAGCCGGGGGCAAAGCCGGCTGCAATTTGCTTTTCCGACGCCCCCGGTTCGGGGCAGGCTCTGGGAAGCTGAGCCAGGTAAGGGAATATCTCCTTCAGTGCTGTCTTCCCGGAATCTGGGAGCTGACCCTGACTTTTTTGCCCCTTTCCCTCCTACTTCACGTCGTCGGGGATATCTCCCCCGATCAGTGACCTCGCTGCATCCGGAGTTTGCGTTCGAAGCGGAGACTAATTGTGAGGAACGTTTCAGAATAAACACATCTATCTTTCCAAGGAGCTTGTTTGTAAGGAGGAAAAAAAAAAAAAATAGATAAAGGAGGTTGAAGGGGATGATTTGTTTTCTTCCTTGCCCTTTACCACATGTCGCACTGGAGTTTCCTTTTAAAATCGAGCCGTCCGTAACAGAAAGCCCGGCGCGGGATTTCGGCCTGAGCTGAGAGACAAACTGAGGGCTCCTGATAATACACTTAAAAAAATAATAATTGTAAAATAAAGGGAACGGTGAGAAACTCGCATCTCTCAGGGGTGACCCACACCCCGGGCAGATCCGAAGCGGGTGTTGGGGTCCCGGGTGGGTTTCCAGCGCTTGTTCCAAACTGCGGCTGAAGCTTTTTGCAGCCGAACGCAAATTTCCAGGCTTAAATTGCCTCCTTCCTGTCCCGGGATGCCAGGGCTTTGCTCAGCTGAAATTGCACAGCTTTTTCCCCCCCGGATCCTCTTACTTCTTCTCCCGCTCCCAGCCCCGCTGCCCCGGGCACCCCCTCGGCTGCTTTTTCTCAGCCGCCGCAGCCCCTTCCCGGCGGCGCTTTGAGCCCCGCACTCCCCTCGCCGTCGTTGCGGGATTTCACCGCAAATCCCGGTTCGTGCACTCCTCGCTCGCCCCCGGCAGAGCCCGAGGTACGATTCATCCTTCCTCCCCCCGTTACCGTTCGTTGGACGGTGACTCCGTGCCCCCGCAAGCTCGGTGCCCCGGGCCTGGCTGCGGGGGGACGGTGCGGGAAGCGTTCCGTGGGGCGGAGAGACGAGGGGAGATTTCCACGGGAGACGGAGCTGCCGGTGGACTTCCCCAGGAGCCAGACCCCAGTGCGGGGCTGCGCCGAGCGCACCGGGCTCTGGGACATCCCGTCCTGGGAGACGCCGGGTCCGTTCCCTCCGCCTCCCGGGCCCCGGCTGCGGGGGCGAGGAGTGCGGGTGGCCCCGCACGGGCACCGGGAGAAGCGGGAGGGGGTTCCTACCGCGGGGACCCCTGCCGGGACACCGGGAAGAGGCCCGAGTTGCCCCGGACGGTTGCCCTGCAGCTCCTACCAGACCCCGCCGTCGGGTCGGTCCCCGCCGTCCGGCCGTTCCTCCGTGCGGTTCGGCTCCGGGCGCCATTTGTGCCCCGATCCCGGAGCCCCGCCGCTCCCCGCAACGCCCGCACCTCCCGACCCCGGTGCGGGGGGTGTCCGCAGGTGGGTGCCGGCTCCCCCGCCGCGCCAGGCCCCTCACCAGCAGATGGTGCTGCCGGCGGCCCGTCACCGGGGCTGCGGGGCCCCGACGGACCGCACCGGGCCGGGCAGCGGCACCGGGGCCCTGCCTGCCGCCTGGCCTGGGCCAAGGGGAAACCGGGGCTGCCGGGGGGGTGGCGGAGGGCCCAGGTAGGGAGCGTTACGTGTTCTGGAGCTCGCCGGCTGCTGGTGTGCGGGCTGCTGGTGTGGGGGCCCGGGGCTTGCCCGGGAACAGGCTGCTGTCGGGGCCAGGGGGGAAGCGGCCGCTTCAGGTGGACTCTCCTTGAGGTGGGCCATCGCTCCCGGGATGCTCGGCAGCCTCCACCGATGCTGGCCCGGGTGCCACCAGCCCGCACCCAGCGCCGAGAGCCGCGGCCGGTTGCAGCTCCGCAGCCCGCCCCGTCCAGGCCGCCCTGCCCCGGGCCGTGTCGCAGGCGGCGGCCGCGGGCTGGCTCCGGGGAAGGGGACATGGTGGGGCCCATGGGACGTTACACACCGGGCGCTGCCGCCGCCCCTCTCCTTTTCCCCCAGCCGGGACCCGCGGCCGGCGGGAGAAGGCGGCCGACAGCCCCATTCCCGCTGCCCCCCCGGTTCCCTGCCCGAGTGCCCTTGCTCCGGCGGACCGAGCCGGTGGCTCCGGGCAGGGCGAGCCGAGCGCACCGTACCGGGGCTCTGGGCTCCCCCGGCCTCGCTGCGCCCGTCAACCGAGCGGTCACCGCTCAGCCCCGGGGACCTCGACCGGCACCGGGGGTCCCGGCTCAGCCCGGGGCGAGCTCTTCCCGCGGGTAGGGCTTTTTTAAATTTTTTTTTCGGGGTGATTAACCCCCTTTTCCCCCAGCCCGGGCCGCCCCCGCAGCCTTACCGCCTCTCCCGCTCCTGCAGCCGGCGACGAGCTCGGGCCGCGCTGGGCGGCCGCCGAACTCCCCGGTGTCTCGGGCGTCCCGGCTCCGGTCCGGTTTTGGAAGGTCCAGGAGCTCCGGCGGCGGAAAGCGGCGGCCGGTGGGCGACGGGGGCGGCGGAAAGCGAAAGCCCGGTGCCGGTGGGGCTGCGGCGGGGCGGCGGGCCCCGAGCCGAGGGGGTTAAACCAGGAGCCTCCCCTTACCTTCAAAAAGTTAAAAATGTCTGGAGCCTGCATCTCTTAAAGGGGCGGTGCTGGCTGCAAGGAGTCTTGGCACCGGCTGCGAGAAAGGCTGGTCAGGGGCGTGAGTTCCCCTCCACCAGCACCAAAACATTGCAAAAAAAGGCAGAGCGCCCCACACTTTAGATAAGGACAATTAGCCACCGGCGAGCCCCTGCAGACAGCGAGTTAATTAGGGGTTTCCTGCTCTCCGGCATGCCCTGTCCCAGCTCCTGCCCCCCGGGGCTCTTAGCCCTGATGGCACCCGGGCTGGCTCTCATGGCCACCTTCTCGCTGCCCTCCCAGGCCGGGGACAGGAGGGCGCTGCCGGTGGAGAAACCTCCAGGTGTGAAGGGAAGAACTCTCATTCTCCTTGATGTCAACACCAAGAGCCCTGTCAGGATAATCAGTGAGAATTTCCTCTCCCTGCAGCTGGACCCCTCCATCATTCATGATGGCTGGCTCGATTTCTTAAGGTAAGGCAGGAGCCCCCCCCGGCGCCCTCCCCGCACCGCCCGCCCCGGCGGCCCCGCCGCGCTCCGCGCTGCTGGCGGCGCTTGTTGTGACGGAGGGAGCGAGGCCATGGTTTCCATTAAGATGCACATGTTTGCAATGGAGAAAGCATTTCAGAGACTTATCAGTTATGACTGCAAAAATGTCGTGCTCCCTTCGCTCCAACAACCGCTCCTCTGGAGGGGAAAAAAAAAAAAA